TTTCAAAGGAACTGAAAATTTGGATACATTTGTGAGCAAGTCACATTTGCAGTTTGCCAGCCCTGCTGAGAATGATCTCCTTTGCACATAAAGCAGGTCACATCAACATGGTTGCAGAGGCAGGATTGGAGCTGAAGGAAGAGCAGTGCTCACAAAATGAGAGAAAGAAACAAGAAACACAAAAAAATCTGCCAGGAAAGACCTTGCAGACAACCTCCTCAGCCACGTGAGCTCTGCTTCTGCGGCACACATGGCTACAAACATATTAATCATGACACTTGATACTGGCTCGAGACCCAGACACCAGGTGGATCGAGCGGAAGAGAAGGACACGTTACTGTGCTCTTCTTGCAAAGCACTAGCACATATGTGCTTTGCAAACTGCATTAGTAGAGCTCTTTGGAGACAGTTTGTTTAAGAAAAGCCAGAGAGCTTTTGGGGAAGATGCAGCAGCTCATTGTGTGATAACTGAGGCAGCTGCTGCAGCCCGCGAGCACCAGAGGAGCAGCGGCCGTCCCCGCACCGCAGCAGGTCTGCCATGAGGAGCTCTCCTCCCACCAATGTCCCAGGACACACAGCTAAAAAAAGGTATTTGGTGAAGCAAAAAGGGTGTAGGGAGGTCAGCAGACTCGTGTGGCTAGATTGATTTCCTCGCCAAACCATTCATTCAGACAGAAGAAATGATGGTTTCCAAAACACTCCTAAGTAAACCTCCAAGAAACTTCTGGCAAGAGGACTGTGAGAGATACTCTGCCAGACCAAAGGGCTTTAACATTCAGAGCTTCTGCACCACTGCAGCCATGAAATGTTTGTTATTGTTGGTCAAATGAACAGACATCTGTAAAAGCACAGCTCTTGTACTTGAAAAATAGAAGGTTCCAGTTCTGTGCAACCTTGGGTGAAAAGAAGAATTAAAATCTCGTAGACCAGGTTTTAGAGGCACAGTAATAGTCTCATTTGAGTCAGTAGGAATTCCTGTTGGAACTTAAATACAAGGCATTTTATTTTTACTTCCTTGTTCCCCAGAGCACACATGGGAGGGGAGGTTTGTCTGATCAGGCTCAGGCAGTACCAGACTCCTTTGCAGGACCTCAGGTCTCTAACAGGGAAAGGAAAAGGCTTCTCAGAGCAACTCAGAAAAAACATCAGTCTACTCTATTTGATACATCATAATGACAGGTCATAAAGGATAGGAAAGAAATATGTGTCCATAACCAGAAGATAATAGAGAATACAGCTATAAAAACAGGAGACTAGAGCAGGGCACAGTACTGCTTTAAGTGAGGTGAATCCTTTTCTGATTTATCTATGGCTCCATTTACATCCCAGAAAAACAGCCTGAGAGAAAAGGATTTTTCCACAGAAGTCAAAGAAAATGAGCCAGAATGGGAACTCTGAAGTCCTACTAGCATGTGCATTTAAATCAACAATTTTTATTTTACAGAGATAATGCCACTTGTGAATGAAAGCCAATAATGACAATCTGATTGATGAACACATAAATCAGCTCTGCTGTGCTAAATAGATCCCATTTTCCACATTCAGTGGTTTCTGTCACCACTTCTGACAAAGACAGAATTTAATCAGATGTGGGTAAAAGACTAACTTAGTCTACCCTTGAGTAAATTTCCTAAAGAACAGGAATCTCCATCCCAAAAAATCCTGGAAAGCAGGAATCATCTAGACTCATCCTGTGCACAAACAAAGCCTCCGTGTTAGTGCTTCACACTACACAAAAAGAACCATCTAAACCATCAAAATGCACCTTCTCCTGGCCTTTCCAAGAGCTCCCCCATGACCATCCAGGCTGAAGGTTCCAGTTCACAGTTCTCAGCCCCTTGAAGCTTTATACTCTCCCTTGGGAAATGGTGCTTTGAGAGTCCCCTTGGATCTGCACAAGGGATTTGGGACTAAAGCTCTACCTGATGGATGCAAAGATGGCAGAGTGAGGTACGAATACTGCTTCTTTGATCTCTTCTGTGCTTTTGTATTGAATGTCCAAAACATGCCCAGTGAAACATTTTTATTGGCACGAGGCAGGGTTACAAAACTTTGTGGCTTAGGCAGATGACCGTACTGGTCCTGGTTTTAGCGTTAGAGCCCATTCTGCCTGTAAAACCTGGCATGGATTTGCAGAAGTTTGGGAGACAACAACATTTGGATAATACAAAGTCACTTTACAGCTATTCCTTTAGTAAAAACACTGGGTGTTAACAGTGTAAATAATATGTCTTACAACTTCTAATGTCAACAGATAGGTTGTCTCCTCAGACACATCCTCTGAAAAAGGCTCTAGTGAAGAACATAAGTGAACACAAGCAAAATTTCAGTGCCCATGTCAGAAAAAGAGAGGACAACTGGCTTGAAAAGCCCTTTAGATTAGAAGTACATTAAACTTTCGCAATGGAATTGCAAAATGTGCCCTGGAGACTTCCATCCGCTCCCAGGTCTGCTCAGCAGCCCCACACGTGTCCAACCACAGACCTGCCCTGTGCTCCAGCTCAAGCTAAAAATGAGATGGGACCGCGGAGGAGAGAACTTCACACCAGAGGGTACAGACACGTCCATACTATGCCATCTAAATCTAAATGCAGGTTTTGTCCAGAGATTCAAATGTTCTCACTAAATTCACAATCTCCTGGAAATGAGCAAATTGAAAAGGTTCAATTGAATTTTCTGTTTATCATTTGAAGCTTCAAGCGGGAAGTAGCATCAAAAGGTACAAATCAATCTGGCAGGGCTCTCACAACTCCACTTACATGGATGAAATTACTTCTGTCCAAACTCAAGAATAACGGTATGGAGTTAAATATTTTATTTAAAAAGTTTCTAGTCCAATAGAGGAAGCAGCAGACATATTGGACAAACTTTCTGATCACTGTAATGTAAAACCTCAAAATCTGACTTTCCGTTTCATTGCCAAGCACGCAAACATGACTAACTTCCAAAGAACAGGGGGGAAAAAAGGACTAGAATCTAAATTATTCACACAACATTTAGAACACACTGTTTTGCTATTGAATAGCTGGCATTTCTTGGAAATATGAAAGAAGAGCTGCTTTGAGATAGAGAATGACCTGCAGAATTTCCTTTAACCATACACTGCAAAGCAGGGGATGCTCCAGAGGGATTTTGCATATGGGTTTTGCTTTTGGGGAACAGTCACCAACCTGTGGGCTTCAATATTCAGCTTTCTGATCATTAGGTTGAAACCTAATGTGAGGAAAACAAGCACTCACCCAGCTGGGGTGAGTAAACACTGTCACTTGGAGCCACTCATTTCTGTGGCAGGCAGCAGCTTCATCTCCTGCTCTCGGCAGTCAAGGAGCTGTGCACACTCTGCCCAAGGGCGCTGCAGAGTGGGACACACCCCCTAGGAGCCTCTCTCTTTCCATTATCTACAGAGGGAGTCCGAGGAAATTATACCCTCAGCTAAATTTAGTTATTGCGAATCCCCTTCCCACATTTGAGTACGTTTCATACCAGGCTGATCTCGCAGCGGGGAATGATTAGCTGAAGTTAAGCATCTGTCAATTCACTTTAATGAGCAATAACTCGTGGCAACCTGCCATTAGCTTCGGTTGAATAGCTTTTATTTTTAGCTGGTGTTGCTCAGATGCAGCTTCCATCCAACATGTGCTGGGAAAGCTGACATCCCAAAGTAGTCTCCAGGTCTTCGTTGTGCCAGTCGGGGTGTCAGGGCTCAAGAGCTGCAGTTCCTGGAGGTCAGAGAAAAGTCACTGCAGTTCTGGGAAACTTTCAAAGAGTGAGATAAAACCAAAAGCCTGGAGAAACAGCACAGAGGCGCATGGTCCCCAGAGACCTTGCAAGAGAAGTTACTGAAATCCTGAGAGCGTGCTGAATGAGTGAGCTGGGTCTCCAGGGACAAAAACAGCACAAGGGGAAGGCACAGAGAGAGAGAGAGCCTGCTGAAATAAAACATGACTTCAGTGCTGTCCAAGAGTGCCTAGTGAGAGGAACAAATGCACAAGTTCTCTTTTGTATCCGCTGCTTCATGTGGATTCAGGCTTTTATCAGAGGTGACCACAGAGAGGGCAAGGGGAAAAGAGCAAGATGAGTCCTCAAGTGAATATAGGGCAGGGTCTCGTTTCCTCCAGAAAGGAAACCCAGTTTAACTCAGGAGCTGCTGCTGAAGCAGGAGGCTAAACATGAAGGCAGAACACGTTTGTGCCTCCAAAGAGACCCTCAGGAAAGTGTTCAACTCAGCCTCATGGCACCAAGTGCTTGAAGGGCAGCTGAACCACCTGAGGTCCTTCTCTCTGAGTGTCCTGCTCTCCAATGGGTTTCCACAGAACAGCTTGCAACTGTTCTGTTAGATGGGCATCTACAACTTCTCTGGCTGGAAGTTTGAGCCTTCTTGTCTCAATGTACCAGCCTAATTCATTCTGCTTCAGAGTCCCATCTGAGCCCCCACATAAGCTGCTGTGAATTCACAATAAAAATAATAAGAGAACAAATATTCAGAGTGAATCCACCAACCTGTTGGTGAGATACTCCTATCCTAAAACACTGTGAGACGAGTCAAGGCAGGGCAGTAACATACCTTCGGGGGAAACCTGAAGCAACATCTTTTTAGAACACGCTTTTACTGAATAAAAAGGTGTGGAAAAGCTCAGAAATAGAGCAGTTGCTCCACAGAGCAGAGTTGGAGGCCAGGTGCCGTATCTGTGTGCACTTGGTTTCATTCACCCATTCCCCTGCCTCGAGTTTGTGCCCAGCACAGGTCCCAGTCCAGCCCCAAGCACAGTGACAGCCAGTCCAACACATCTGCTGGGAGTGCACGTTGGAGCAGCCTTCCTGTAATGCCTCACAGCTGGGTGAGCACATTGCTGAAGTCAAGAGGCACGCATTTCTTTAGCAAAGAAAAGAAATAAAAAGTCAAGACTAACAAGATCCAGAAAGGGCATGCTTTTTTTTTTTTTTTTGAACAAATCAACATTTATTTCAATGTAGTGAAACAACTTGTTGAAGCACTTCTCTCAGTTCTACTTTACATTTTGTATTTACACTGTCCTCATTCTGTGACAAAAATAAAATCATCTCCAAACCTGAAGTTTCCAGAATAAGTCGCTAGCAGCAAAAATAACAAAGCCCCAAACACAAAGCAAAAATCCCCCTTGATATATTTTGATGGGAGATTTTTGCATCTTCCATAAAAAAAGTTTTAACCCTGAAACTCTATGAAAAGCTATATGGGATGACAAGGAGGAAAATGTAATGTGTTTGAAGCTGAACGAGAGCAGCATTTGCTGGCCTTTGCAAGTACACTGTTACTTTTAGCATAAGGAACTGTGAAATGCTTAGACACCCACACAGAAGCAGACTTTTAAACTTTGATCAAAGCAGTTCTGCTCTTCTGGGAGCGTAAGGGTACCAGAGTCAGCAAATGCCATCTTTTATCCTGGATGTTGGGCACAAAAACAAACTTTATTACACATGGTTTCCAAGCAGCTGTTAGTAAAACACAAGCCTTATTCTTTTGTCAAGTGTCAAGGGTCAGCTTCATTCAGCAGCTTCCAAATTGAGCTACTGTAAGAATTTTGAAGTAATTACTCAGTTAAATGACATCATTGCTAAGGTCAACCCTTGCCTTATACTTGAAGTCAGCAACCTCTGTGACTAGGTGGACCACTCTGCTAAATGGGGGGAGAGGAGGGAAGACAATGATGTTTGAGTATCATATTTAGGTCTCCCTATCTCAAAGGAAGCTGTGGCTATGTACCCAAACAATTCTCCATGGAAACAACAGAAGAGTATCAGTGACAAACTTGGAATTGGAAAAATAAAAAAAAAGCAAGAACAGAACCCAAAGCTTTTTGGGATAGGAAGAAAAACTGCATGTTGAGAAAGAAGGGATAAGTTATTAAACTTTCCAGGCACACAGAGGGCTCGGAAAGCACAGAAAACAAGCAGAACAAACAAACACAACTGTGTGCATCTTTGCATCAGCTTCTTTTGCCAAATGCAGTAGCTTCCAACATTCAGCAGCTGCCTCTTGCTTTCTAGTGCTGTGGAGTTCTCTTTGGTACTTGGAGGCTGTGAGGAGCTCCAGGCAAAGAGAAAGTCTTTGTCCATTTACCAACCAATTCCAAAGGCGCTGATCTTGAATAACTTTACTAAGCAAGAGTGACACAGATGTTTAGAAAAGGGGACTTTTCTCTTAGTAAAGTTGTGGTAGGTGCAGTGGAAACCCAAGGCAATCTACATGCTTGTCAATTTGTGCCTAGGTAAGAACAGAGTCCTCCATGAACGTCTCTCATTTGTTCACTCTTAAATTATTCAGGCTCTGACAGCCCCTGAAAAGAAAAGAACGGAATAAGGATAAGTTGCAAGTGGCGCAGGGCAGGAGCGGACACCACGTAACCACCAAGAACAACGGGGTTGGGGTGTTTGACAACAGACACACTGCAGCTGCAGCCTCCAGGGCTGGTGCCCAAAGCAGCTTCCTCCACGCCCTCATCCTCCAGAAATGCCAGCAGAAAATACAAGCTCACAGCAAAGGTACTGATTGGGATGAATTAAAAGAAGGAATGAATGAAGTCAATGCAAACAGCGGTTTGGAAATAAAACACACAGATAAGAACTGCTGGTGCTTGTGACACTTTGCTCTTTGAACACAGCACAGGGAGATGGCTAAGCAGCTTGGAGACTTTTAACTGCACATTCAAGACTATCAGTTAGGCTTGTGGAAGGCTTTAATTCATTCAGCTTAAGTAGCAAAACCAGAACACCACTTGCTGTCCCATATAACAGGCTCACGCAATCTGCGTCTTGGTTTTTCGTTTGACAGCTTGGCACAGAGCAGCTCTGTGAGGAAGCTTCCCTGTCACGCCAGTCAACAAGTTTATCAAATTTCAGGTGACAAAGTCACTACTACACTCTATCTGCGTCAGCAAGAAGGATGGACAGGAACTTGAAGTCTCAGAGAGCATCTGCTACATGGGAACAGGAGAGCTCGCTCTCTGCGGCACCCTGCCGAGGTCTCGGCCCCCTGAAGCTGTGCCAGTGCCTTGACCCAGACACCAGCCTTCCCAGCGAGGCTAGTCCTAAGGAACTGATTGATTGTGAATTCTGAAGGGCCACACACAGCCACCCACACTTTTAGGTTGCCTACATCATTGCTCCTTACCAGCAGCCTCCTTATGGGAAAAATATCTACATCTGGCTTTGCAGAAACGTGGAGAGGTGCCCTGCATAAAGTGCTTCATTCCCTTCTGCATCACCGAGTCCCTTCTCAAACAGCTGAAAAATGCTCTACCAAGCAACACGTCTAATAAACTTCCATTACAAAAGCCATCTCCTCTATTGCTGGGTGGTTACTTTCTTTTGGCTCCATCTTTCAAAGGAAGCAAGAAAAAGAAACACTTGAACACAACAGCAAGGATTAGTAGCAGAGGCTCTTTGATTCTACAAAGATTTTGTTGAATACAGGTGACCTGTTACTGCATTTCAAGATGTCTGATCACAGACATCACCTGCCTGACAGTTTAGTATCTCCAGGACAAGTGACTTCAGGGAATATTCAGCAAGCATCAGCCTTTCAGTGTTTGTCTGGAGCTTGCCTTGCTGTAGGCTTGTCTTAGCCATACTGCCAGATCAAATTTTACAGCATGCCCTACCATGAGCAGCCTGGATAATCCTGGGTAATTTCTCTGATACCAAGACAAAGTCAACTAAGATGCTGCCCTCTGCTCAGCACCTGCAGCCTGGCAGGAGCTGTGCTCTGCTACCGTGGAGCTGAAGTTACTGCTAACATTCAAAGCACTTGACTCCTTCTTGCCTAAAGCTATCATTTCCCTTCTGCTGTCCCAAAAAGAATCCCTGTTGATTAATATTTATTTCATTTCCTAAGGAAATCTATTCAGCCTCCACATGCTTCAGCTGAGAGCGACGTTTGAACATTGTGTTGATCCTCAGAGTTCAAACTGTAGAAGGTACAAAGAATACCAGACTTGAGGCACTTCAACGGTATTCACTGTGAATCACCATTTTACATTGTACCACTCAGACACATTTGGATCTAAAACACATTTGCATTTCTAATTAAAACAGATTACTATTAGTGCTAAAGAATGTCTTAAATCAGAATCCCTAGGCCATAAAAGCTAATTGCATGATGCTAAAACTGGATTTCAAAAATATACATATTATACCCCCTGCAGGATTAATTAGGCAACATCTCTTCAAAAGAGTCCTCAAAAGTGTATTTATTCAGCATGTGGTGAAATTATACCAGTTGTGCAACACTTCCCCTGGCCTTCCTTGGCTCATGCTCCCGTGGCAGCAGAGAGCTGTAGCCTTGTTCATCAGGGGTGCTCAGTGTGGACAGATGGGATTCAGGACTGCAGTCCATGAGCAGGGACACACACTGCAGGAGCAGGAGCTGCTGCCCTGGCCACAGTCAACCAGCACCCTGGAATGAGGTGATCTGGGGTACACGCCTGGTGTGCTTCCCAGGACATGCTGGCCCACAAAGAGGCTGAAATCAACTGGTCAGTATCAATCTGGAAGCTGTAACTGCTGATGATCTGATGCTCAGTTGGTCACTGGTTTCCTACCTGACCTCAAGGAAGGTTCTAAGTGCTGACTGAGCTGTAAAGTGTTTTCAGAGAGGCTACAGTGTACCACATCTTGAGGATCTGCTCACCAAAGCTGCACATGCCTTAAGAAGGGATGAGAACAAACCCAATAGAGCCTAAGAGGTCCTTGGCTGCTACAGTCTGTAGCTGTAATTGTCAGCAAGCCACAACTACATGAAAAAGTGTCCTCAGAAGATGTAGCTGTAGCTGGGGATGTGCCACTCCCAGCTTTCTTCTTTGCTCTGAGCTGCTTGCTTCATGTGAAAAATGAACATGGAAAAATTCTCAGAAAATGGTGGAGATACGTCCACAGTCACTAAATCCAGTCCCTTACCATCACAGTCAGTCACAGCCCATCACTTTCCCAAATGTTTACTTCAATGTTTTCTTGTGCAAGTGAACATGAGACCTTTGCTCAAAACTCAAACAGACCATACTTGTGCTTTCCTGTACACAGCAACTTTAAATTTCCATGTTTAACTTGCTTCCAATACAAAAGATAATAATCTCCAGAAGAAACCACCTACTGGTTTCTCAGGATAATGTTTGCTAATGGGTTCCCAGCAGGTCTGGCTCCCAGGCTTCACTCCCTTATGGAACTTCACAGCCTGGAATATCATTTTGCAGGGGATCCAAGATTTCAAAGCAGTTGGGCTGCCCCAGGACTAGCAATGGCTGTACTACATGGGACAACCAAGTGCACTGGGGTGCAATAAGGGCAACAGAATAGCAATTACTGATTCATCATGTGGCAAGACACAAAACTGGAGACACACTTTTTCCATTTCCCAAAAGTAGCCACGGTTTCTGTACAGTAAAGGAGCACCCACAACCACTGGGAAGTACTGGGAGGTCAGGGAGTAAAATCCAGTCAGGACTTTCTGCAACATAATCTTATGTGTGCTACATTATAAAAAAAAATAAATTACAAATACATAAACTGAAGTGTATATGATGGGTTTCTCCCCATCAAAGAGAAAAACTCCTATGGCTGTTCCATTATTAACTGCTGTAATTCAGCTTGCAGGTTCTATTTTTCATCTCATTAGAACTTCACTGGAGACATTTTCATATTTTGCCCTCATTATATCAAGGGAACCCAGGTGATGTGTGTGATTCCCAAGTTCTCAGCCTGCTGGGGAGAGCATTGTGGGGCTGGCCCAGGACTGAAGGAATGTGAGGCAGGTCAAACTGAACAGGAGACCCAATGGGATGCACTAACTACCTTTAATTCAAGGACTGGTTTGTGTTTCACGATAAACAGCCACATCAAACAATGGGAGCTAAGAGCAAACACATTAATTTTTGGTTTGTGGTTTTCCAATGGCAAAGAATGGTCAAGGGAGATGATTTCAAGCTTATCTCATTAGAGATAATCTCATTATTTTCTAATAATTCTTGAAGTCCTACTTGTGATCTATGCATCTTTTTTAAGAAAACATCCAGATGTGCTTCTATAGTTATATTAAAAGGTAACTTCACATGACACAGAATTGTGTGATGCAATATTAGCAATTGAACTCTTCTGCAATAGCAACTGATGCAGTGGCTAAACTGGCAGAAAATTGGATTTCCTTACTGAACTGAAAACCACAGGATCTGTAGATTCCTGCTGTAATCACTAACTGCCCAACCAATTCCTCTCTTTTGAAAAGAAATTGCACTTTTTGCCAAATATGAAAATGCTTTCCTAAAGCCTGTTAACAGAAATGTAACAGTGTTCTGTGTGCTTGAGAAGTATCTTGATGCTATTTTTAGAATGAAAACTTTGGAAGTTTGGGAGATTTTAAGTTTGAAATGATAGATTAGTTTTCCTAATACACACACAAGTTTTAACAAGGTGTGTGCTGAAACATAACCGTTTGGGAAAAAACCCAAACAAAATCCTTCTGGGGTCATGTGAAATTACTGCCCTTTTTGTTTCACTTCAAAATGGAGAGATTTTATTTCAGCATCCGTGCATTGAATTCCTGAACAATACATCTATCTGGCACTTATTTTATAGGAAAACAGCATGTTTAATTACCCCACGTCTTCACACTGAGCAGGGAGAGTTACCCAAGCTATATTTTTCACAATTATCTGTTCTCTTTTCCTAAGAATAAAGTCTCCTTTATTCAGGTTTTTGACAAGATGAATAAAGCCTTGTGGGTTCTAATATGCTCCTTGGAGTAAAGGGGAAGTTTTGGAGCTTTGCCTGCATAAAAGCAAATCCCATGTTTCTTTAAAGCTGGATGAATTTATGAAAGTTGAAAACAACAAAGCAATCCAAATAATAAGGATCCCCCACCACGTATTCACGCCCAGACCAGTAACTGAAAGCTGATGTTCACAGAAGCTCTTGCTATCTATTTTTCATATATGAATTAATTTCTGAAAGTTTATTTTCTCTACCACTTCTGTTGCATCTTGTATATGTCAAAAGGCTGCAAGATTAGTCACAACAGGGACACATGAAGCCAGAGGTTGAGGAGCCAGCTTGTGTCAGAAGAGTTAGAGCAGCCTAGCAGTGCATGTAACTTTCAAGAGAGAAAATAATAACACTGTTATTGCTTGGATCTTGGAAACTGAGAGAAAGTTACTAAAGCATCCCAACACTGGCACTGACATGATAAACATTCGATTTACACAAAGTGGCTGGTGGTGGAGGAGAGCAGCGAGCACAAAGTCATGCGCAGCAACCAGCACTTCTGAAAAGCTCAAACATTCTGTGCTCT